TCTTTAAGAATTGCACAGTATACGAATTAGATTAGAGTATTTATTTTCACAAGTACTCAATACTTGAAACGGTCAAAGTACCAATACTTTTCAATCAGTTGGACTTGACTGTTTTAGCCTTATACCATGATACACTATTATATGGTATTTATACTAATGTACATGTATTTAATAATAATATTAATAACTTCACTATTAGGTACGAAAAGACCATTAAAATGATCAGGATTTTTGGTGATTACCTTGTTATAGTAATAAAGTTATTTTTACTTTCACTCTTGCAGTTTTAAAGATGAAGGTACTTGCCATCAAGCCGTGAAGGCGTAAAGTAGTATTATTCTATATAAAAAAATATGAATTATATTAAATTTCATAAAAACTATGATTTGACTTGTACAATTATTTTTACATTATCGGTTGCAAAATCACAGATAAAGGTACACGCCATCTGTTAGTGAAAGTGGGCTTTAATTACAATAACATTTTCATAAATGTTTTGGGTAATTAATGCAAAAACTAAATCAATATTAAACACTAATATTAAAGTACAATTTCATGTACAAGTAAATTTAATATAATTCATCATTGGTTACTTTAATTCAAATGATTTTACATTAAAACTGCATTAAACTTAAGATTTTTGTTTAACTTTTTAGTAATCAAAAATTTATTTAAAATCTTATAGGTGAAGTACCACCAAAGACTTTCTTTGCGTTTGTTTCTTTGGGATTAAAATTTTATGCGGAATAGCATATTCAGTGCGCGATGTGTGATCTTGTTTCACTTTCTTTCCTCACAAATCACCAGTCTCTCCCCGAAAACTCTCGTTACACTCCACCCGAGCTTCCGTTATAATATCGATGAGCTTATCGGTGTTTTGCACTCACACGTGCATCGCTCTGCTATTAAGTTTTCACCGAAATGCCGTGCAACAGCAGACAATTAACTTCGATCAGACAACGAATATTTTTTCATACTTTAAAATACGCAACTCTTTCTCTCTCTCTCTCTCTCTCTGCCCCTTTCTTTCTCTAAATATCAAGCACACCGTAACGAGAAAACTTTATACCTTTTTATTATATTCCGTAGCTTTTCTCCAAGCATCGAAAAGCGAAACAACAAGCGCAAAAAACAAAGAACAACTCGAAGATGCGATAAAAAATAAGTTATATACCCGCACACTTTCTGCAAATCTTTCGGAAGGGCGAGCGAGCGAGCAAGTTCGAGCACGCGCGCGGGGAGGAAGATTTATAAAACGACTCGCTGACTACTGTTATGTAATTAAGTCTCGACCTGGCAGCAGCAGAAGCAGCGCAACCTTTTATTATCATTCTCCGGCGGGCGTTGTATAAAGCTTCGCGAAAGCTCGAAGCTCGAAGCATCGCGCGCGCACAATGTTTCATTGAATCGGCGTGCGGCGCGTTGCGCACGAAATTCTTTGCATAATCGAGGGGCGCGAAAAGGTTGGAAGGAGAGACAGATTATACTATTGCGCGCATAACGAAACTTATATACATAATGGAAACCGAAAATTTTGCCTAACGCACAAAAGCTGCACTCGAGGGCGAATCGAGTGCGGGCGCCACGCTTGTATATACAATTGTACACGTTATGTACGAAAACTTGCCTCGCGCGCGTAACGATAAAATCCCAAAGCTCCAGGACTGCTGCGAGGACGACGACGGTTACGATGACGTTGCTCGGCAGTGGCACATGGCGTAATAATTAAATGACATTACAGCTTTTTCACACGTTCGCGCGCATACATTAAAATGTAGCGCGTGCATAGCAATCGTATATGGCGCGCAAGGGCGCAGTGCATTGTTCGGTTCTCTTTCTCTTTCCCTCTCTCTCTCTCTCTCTCTCTCTCTCTCTCTCTCTCTCTCTCTCTCTCTCTCTCTCTCTCATGTGCATGTGCAGTATATAGACCAAGTTGAAAATTACTTGATGTGCTATAAATTACGTATAATTACGTGCCCGAGACGTAGCAGTAGTCGTAGTAGTAGTAGTAGTAGTAGTAGCGCGTACATAAGGGGGAGCTGCTCGGAAAGGAGAAAATTGACTGCTCGAACGCTCTTGGCAAGTTGACTGTTGAATTTCTCTATTACATGATTAAAGCACACGAATGCGTTATTGCGTGAAAAAGTATAAAAGCTCGGATTATGCCACGCGCTCCTTCATTATAGCACACTACGTACAATTGCCACGCGTCGATGCTATAATAAAACTAATGTCAATTTTGATTCGAAAAGAATACCTGCAGATATTTTATCATCTTATTATATATCTGTATTATTGTTTAGACAATTTCATCACTGTCTTTCGGGGGGCGCCTAGCTGATAAAAGCCTCGATCGGTGAGTGCGAGGCACGCGCGATAAAAGCTCAACGACAACGACGTGGCAAAAAACACAGGTACGAAAAAAAAATCGAAGCAACTCGGGAGCGGAGCATTTCGCGTCGGCGAAATAAAAAAAAAGAGGAGAAGGAGAGACAGAGAAGAGAGCAAAAAACGTTCTCGCAGATACGTACACAGGACGTTTTATTTCAGTAGACGTGCAGTAGAGAGAGAGAGAGAGAGAGAGATAGAAAGAGGAGGATAGGAAGAGCAGTTTGGCCGACACTTTGGCCGCAAACAGCAGTGCAGCAGCAGCAGCAGCAGCAGCAGCAGCAATACGGCGGCCAGGGTAGGCTGTTAATTGGCTGGGACGTGTCGCGCAACTGGCAGTGGTACACTGTGCTTCGCTACGGCTGCTGTTACTGTTGCTGCTGCCGCTGCTGTCATGAGTAGTTAGCGATATAGCCTCTGTCTCTCTTTCTCTCTGCCCCCTCGTTACTCCCAACCCTCTGCCGCGCGCGCGCGCGTATCCATATTACGGCGATGGACTGTATATTTATAGGATTCGCTTTTGTGTGTATATCTTTTCTCTCGCTATATACGGCACTTGGATATAATGAACTCGCAAATTCGCGGCGGGTTGCTTATCGAATGATACCTTCGTTTGTTTGCTTAATCCTCGAGCGAGCTGCCGCGAAACGTAGTACATAGTTTGCAGCTTGGCAGAGTGTGTCCATTATATCCATCGAGTACGCTGCAGCAGCCAAAAACCTTTTATTCGAGCTCGCGCTTCCACCGCGCGTGTATCGAGTATTTCATAATTTTACTCCCTCTCTCTCTCTCTCTCCTTTCTACGCCACGGCTAAAAAGCATTCATCATATCACTCGTTTTACGTATATAGATATCGTATACATGCTATACACAACGCTCGGGATTTCTCTTTTTTAAGTACGTAATCGAATCAGCGCGGCAGAACTTTTCTTCGCGAGAGAGCAAATGACCTGCTACTTTTTTCAGCAGCAGCAGCGGCAACGATACAAACCGCGGCGTCCGCAATAACGAAGCACATTTCGACAAATCAAAATCTATATCTCGTGTGCCGCTACATATATATATACATATACGCGCGAACGTATATAAACGCGTATACAGCAGAGTCGGTCGCGGAGAAAGGAACACGAGCTACTGCTGCCGCACACCTACCTCCCTGCAAGCTCTGATATATCTATATTTAACGAACTTTTTGAAAAATAGCCCCAGCTGAATGGTGCGCGATACAGGCGCTCACATAGTAGTAGCGCGCGCGGGAGCGGGACAGGAACTTTTTTTATTAGACAAAGTTTTGCGCGAGTAACGCATTGCGCGATACATGTATCGGCGTATCTATATATATATATATGCACCAACTGGCTTTGTAGGCATAACGCACACCTGCGTACACATGCACACCCACGTGGCAGCAAATATACATCTGCAACGCGTGAGAAGAGCGAGAGAGAGAGAGGAAGTGAGAGTTACCCATCTAACGCTTGGATCATTCAATTTATAGTTTTGCCTTGAACGTCTAGATATATATACGCCAGTGCGATAACTCCAAGTGTGTATTCGTATACGCGTCTGTGCGCGCCTGTATACACACACACACATATACGCGCTCTCTATGCACCTGTATGCATACATACACGCGTATGTGTATACACAGGATAACAACGTAAAACTTGCTGCAGCATGTGTATACGAATAGAGTAGATTAATATACCATACACACACATATAACATATATAGACATGAAGCCAAAGAGGGAGACAGAAAGAGAGAGAGAGAGCCAAGTGAAAAATAGTTTATATAGTGCCGGTGGCTTGATTAAAGTTGACGTTTTCCATTATACAGGTTGCTGTGGCGTCGGATACATATATGTGTGTGTATGTGTGTGTGTATAAATCGAAAAACGCCTCGTTCGCTTCTCTCACTCTTTCACTCAGCGCGCGGCAATCTTTTCTAAAGATCGCCCAAACTCGGCAGTTAAAAATAAAAATAAATGAAAAGAGAGAGAAAACGAAAATAAATAGACAATCGAGCCTTTTGCACGCCGCGCGTAATATTTAAAACGGATAATAAATCGACTTTATGGAAAAAGAAGGAGGAAGAGAGAGAGAGAGAGAGAGAGAGAGAGAGAGATACAATTTAAACAAAAAAAAAAAGAAAAAAAAGTGGCAGAAAAAAATGACTAGTACGTTTTCACGCACGCGAACCCACACGCCTATCCGACAAGCCGGTGATTGACTGACTTTGTTGCGTGCGTGTATGGGCTGCTTTATGTATATGTATATGCAGCAGCAGCAGCATGAACGAAACTCTCTATTCGTACACACACCATCCCGTACCTACCCCCCCCCCCTCCCTTTGTTTTTCGACCCATGAGCGAAAGAAAGGGCGAATGTATATGTGTGCATTGGCTTTGGTAACTCTTTTAACGCTGCAGCAACCGCGAGCCCGAGTCACCGCTGCTGCTGCTGCTGTTATTCGCACTTTTTACCTGTCAAATTACCGAAGAGAGCTGCCATTGTCCAACATATTTTGGACAGCGTGGCAGTCACGGTTACCCTTCTTTATCTACTTGTGAATCTTTATATTATGTTATTTTTATTTAACTTTTTTTTATTTTTGCCTCTTAAAAAATTATGATGTGAAATGTGAAGAATTTGGTGATGACCTAGGATTGATCCGAGATTATAAAAGAGATTTAAAACAGTAGTACCTTTAACCAATTTAGCAACTATTGGACATTAAAATATATGCCTGCACAGCTCGTATCCAAAATATAAATAAATTCATCCAAATACATGTATACATATTACATTCCTAGTAAAAGTCACAACATTCATCATATCCTAGCAATCGAAAAATAATAATATAAAATGTCTTTGCAAATACATCACTATTAAGTGGCCTATTTTTAGAAATATTTTCGTTACAATTATATAAAATATATTAAGCACGATACAAATCGACTGTCTCCGCGAAGACAATCACTCGGGGTGCGGTTAAAAAAAGTTTTCTTCTAATAATGCGGACCAAAAAATCCTTCAAAAACAATGTGTTGGGTAAGAAAATTTGTCCAGATTGCTTATTCGCAATTTTTTAATAAAATTTTTATCTCCTTAATTTAAGAAAAGGAAATGTTCATGTGCACATTTTATTTTAGAGTAACTTCTTTGACCTCGTGGTCGAAAGAGGAACTTTTTCTCCACTGGTTTGGAGGAAGCTTTATCTCGTGATCACGAGATGCTCTTGGTAGCCACAGTCGAAAAAATCTAAAAATAACAATTTAAAGAGTTTGTAGCAAAAACATAAATCATACCTCACCGCAATGAATTTTTACTCGTAATAGTTCAAGTGATTACGAATTGATTGTAAGCAGTTATTGAATACTACTTAACAACGACTAAACATTAAAGACGGTTTCAATCCGTAAAATGATTACTGTTAAAGCTCATCGTGATTCATTCGTGACTGACTCGTTCAGACTGCTCGACTCTTCTTGTCTTTGCTCCCTTCAAAGTTATTAAACTAAATTTTTATATGCATTCAAGGGGATGAGATTCGATTAAATGAAAATAGCACGAGTATGCATCGTCATACCTGAGGATTCGTAATACATCTTGATATATTAATTCGGTGGCGTTGAGGCCCCATACAAAATCAACGTGATTAAATCCGTACTCGCTGAGATCATAAATGCCGAGCTTGTTGGGAATCTGCTCGTAAAAATGTTTGCCATCCTGTGGACACGAGATGAATGTAGAGAAATGACTCAATTAATTATAAATAAATTACCCTGCTGTCGACGATTGCATCGTTATCGGAAGTGAACGTGGCAACGGGTATCTGTATCTTCGTCAAGTCGTACACCGGTGGTTCCGCTTGATTGTAAAGCTGTAAATTCTTTTTCCGGCCATGATCGAAATTACGAAACTCGTTGACACGTATGTATTGGAACCAGTGCAAGATCACGTTCATGGACGTGCCCATTGGAAAGGCGCCCAAATACTCCGGGATTCGGCGCTATAAGCCAAATAATGACGCGCAAAAACAACAAATGCACGATGAGGCAGTCGTACGACTTTTCTTCTATGGTGGTGGGCATGAATCTGTTACTCACGTGATCAAGCTGAGGTGGATTGTATCCAAAGGAATACAAAATTATATTGTTACAGACATGTTCGCGCGCGAAGGTGACGTTGCACAAGTCGTTTAATATGGTATCGTACACGCCGCCTTGGTTCGCAAATTCGTAGAAGCCAACGGCTTTGGTCGCGAACTAGAGCGAAAAATGCAGTCAATGAACGGGAACCCGTGACCTTGCTGCGAGTAAAACGATACCTTGATCTCCCTCCAGAAGGCCGAGAGAAACCTGATGAGCGGCTGAGTAAGATGGTATTCGTAAATGGCCGGAGCCAGGCCAATCATCGCCCTGACGTGTTTGGCCGCGTCGGGCCGTTGCGAGGCCATGATGGAGAAGGAAGCTCCACCCATCGAGTAACCGACGTAAAAAATATCCTTACCGGTCGTTTTTCGGATATGATGGATCACCGCTGGCATGTCGTAATAACCCAACTCGTGCCAACTGCAAAAGTTATATTCTATATATTCGTTCGACTTTTCGTTGTGTCAGGAGTCATCACCTGAAGTTCCAGAATTCTTTGTCCTTTGGTGTCAAAGTTTTATGCTTTCTTGAATAAGCATTGCCTCTGAAATTTCCGATCCAAACGTCGTAACCCTCATCCCACAACAGATAAGCTGTGATAAACGTTTATTTAAAATACTTCATCTAAAAAGATTATGGAGTTTTCTTTAATACCTACCCAAAGATCGATTCGGTCCATTTTTTAACCAGTCAGCCGAACTCAACAAAAGGCCATGTTGAAGAAAAATCGGCACTCCGTTATTTTGCGACATGCGATGAATACCCAATATATAGCCATCTTCGGTTTCGATTTGATGATCCTCATAAGGATAATGGTTTTTTCTCAAAAGATCTTCCTGCGAAGCGAAATTAGAATGAAATACATTAATCAAGTTGTAGCGAACTCCGAAACAAAAAGATATTGATACGTGTACTTCACCGTTGTCTCGACGGTAATCAAGCCCTCCACTCGAAGGACGATGTAATACACCATCTGCGCCAGTAGTGTCACGAGGAACAGCTTATTCTGAAAATAAATGGTTTCGTAGATAATTATGAAATAAAAAATGTATTCAAGCCGTCATCTTTCGTGATATTTACTTGTCTAATGACCAGTCTGCATTAGCAATTATGAACAACCAAATGACATTGAGAATGGATTCGACTTGTAAAAAAGTCACGTAACTCACCTTATGAACCATATTTATGAGTTAATGATTTGCTGTTAAAGCAGAACAGCAGCGGTAAACACTAGCAAAAGTTAGCCCCAAAGTTTTGCCACGACAGTTTGAGAAAAGCGAATGAATTAATTATCTCATATTACACTAACATTAAAATTTTTCTCCTGGCTTCAGGCGTGCATCAAGTGCCGCACAACCATTTCTCCAAAATGCCCACGTATGACCGAGTCGACCGAAAATTTTTGCATATCTCCGCTACTGGTTCTGTTAAAGTCACTGCTCAAGTGTCAGCGTTAATGTAAAAGCCCGTGCATTTTAACAGGAACGTATTTATGCCTTATCAAAGACTCGTCTGCTTGATAGTTTTCGAACAGCCACGAGGAGCTGCACTCCAATCGCTATGACATGGTTAGCAACGCAAGAATTGCTTAGTGCTACGAGTGAGGAAATACTTTTTTCGCCTCTCTCTCTCTCTCTCTCTTTCTCTCTCACACACACACACTCGAGCTCTACTTATAGCATCAAGTCTAAAAACGAGTGTGCATGTACAACGATTGCTAATTTAACAGTGAGCGATGCACACGGACCCGAAAGAGAGAGGGAAAGAGACAGACAGATATAGATAGTTTTATTTATGCCGAAGAACAACGAGCTGCTATCTAGCCAAGGTCATACAGAAAACGATACAAAATCAAAGTCTCCTTACGTCGTCCTAAGTGAAAATAAAAGTCAGATGAAACAAATAAAGGCAAAGTATACAAAAAATTAATAAGTATATGACAAATTAATAAGTAATTAATTCATAAGTATATGACAATTTAGTAAGTAATTACTTAATAAGTGTATGACAAATTTCGATTACATATCTACCTTCAAAAATGGTACACTTTCCATAAAAATTAAAGCAATTGTCACTATACAAGTTTCAGCGGAGAAAGTTAATTTCACCGTTATCGTAATTGCTCAAGTTAAAATTAAAATTAACAAAAAGTAACAACCTTGAGTCAAATGCAAGAATGAATATGGTCAAATCCCAAAATAAATTGCAGTTTCGTTAACAAAAAAAGGTGAAATTTTTTTTTCGTGTCCAGCGGCCCGCACAACCGAAAATTGTTCCTAGGGGTGAGAAAAAATGCATGAACATGAAATTTGAAAATAGGTAATTTTTTTTATCACTTTTGTATTTTAGAGGTCGAAAAATCAATTTTTCGGGTAACGCCAATACGACTTATAACTCGATTTCCAAGTCGTTTCAAAAGTATCAAAACTCGGCTACATATCTTGAAAAATTTACTACGAAAAAATTGAACTTTTTGGTTTATTTTTGATTTTTTCTTATAATAATTTTCTTATTATAATATTTTGGAAAATCTGATACTACCATCGGAAAGCTGAGAAAATTTCCAACCGAAGCCATATATCTATTTATTTTTTCCGTCGAATGAAAATGTTACACAAGTGAATTTCTTTTAGCTGTTTTCTGATTTTTGTTAACGAAACTGCATTTTATTTTGGGATTTGCCCATATACATAACGGAGCAATTAGATGACGAATTGTCGCCAAGTGCACCGAGGTCGGCAAGATGTGGCATATAAATATATAGTAAACGAACTGAGACAAAAAACCAATAAATCGATTCGTTAATTGTTAATGATAATTGAAAATAAATAAATAAGCTTAATAACAATTAATATAACCTCAAAATACTTGATATGGTAAAAGTGATTGAGCGACAGTGTAGATTCATATGTCAGTCTCTAATTCTGTCTAGTTCATCTATATGCACTCGGGACCAGACACATAAATTCACACATGTCAATTTCGGACTCATCACAGAGCTTCTTCGACGAGGAAACAATTAATTTTTAACGATATTTGTACCATTTATTATTTTATTTTTATAAAAATTGTTAATCCTATGAATTTCGAAATTTGTTCACTACGCACTTTAGACTTTAAAAATAGTAAACAGTGTAGAAATAATTATCTTCAAAGTTTTATGAGTACAACAATATAATATACTGAATAATTCTTATTACTTTAGGAAACTAGCGAGGGTCAAACCAATTTTCAAAAAAATGCTATTTCATTTACGTTTTGTGAATGATAAAAGTTGATGATTGGTGTTGATTGCTAGATTCCGATATCGCTGGAATTACTGATTTTCAAGGTGATTTTATTCAGAATCATCATGAAAAGATCAATACAAATTGAAGTAAAATTCTAGTATATTTTACTTTAACCAAATTTCGATGTTTATTATTTTTACTGTACGGGGCGCCAAAAAAGCATCTTGTTGAATTGCGCACGAAGTAGAATCTTGCTGAACCAAGCATTTTCAAAATGAGACACAAAAAATCATCAGAAAAATTATGTGAGTTCTAGCAAAAATGACTGAAAAGTTGTCGGTGCAACCTATATAGGAGAACAATGAGATATTATTCTTTTTTTTTTTAATTTCTTTACTAAACGCAAATGCTAGTTCAGTAATGTTGTGCCTACCTTTATAGGGTAGGCTAAGTATATACGTCCAGTCAGCTTGAGAGTAAGAAAAAAATAATAAAAGAAATTCGAGCTTGTTTATAGCCTGGTATACGAGCTTTTCCTCCCGATATCTTGTATTATATTCTCACGCATTCAAATATTTTGATAAATTATAAAATACCAAGGCGAGCCAGCGATCGATATATAGAGAAGAAAAATAGACGAAGCACGTCGCAGAGGTGCGATCGCCGGGATGCGTATACACACCCATTCCGTACACACAATGGGGACCTCGAGTGAAAAAATATTTCAAGATGCTCGCGCCCGCGCATCTCTCCGCTCCGTATAGTAGTACTAGCCCATGGTGTGGGATACACAACATATTAAGCTGTATAGCCCGTATGCCATACACGTGCGAGAATGTCGAGATAACACGACGTTATAGGGTAGCAGCAGCAGCAGCAGCAGCGGAGCAACGAAGGGGCGGTGCACGCCAAAAGAAAAGAGACGGCGACAAAAAACAGCGCCAAAGAGTCGTGTTCTTCAGTCGAGAGAGTGAGAGAGAGATAGGAGGATGTCCACCGAGAAGAGGCTATCGAGTGTAGTGGCAGAGGCGCTTTTGCCTTCGCACCTTAGACTGGTTTTTTTGTCTGTACGTGGCGCGCGCACACATACACACATTCACACAGGAATACGTGTGTGTACCTCGCGCGTGAGAATGTGTCTATACTAAAACGTCCAGAGACATAGGGGTAGTCGACGTCGTCGTCGTCGTTGCGAGCGAGCGACATACGGATCAAATGTATAAACGATTTTTCCAACGCCACTGCTGCTCCTGCAGTAAGAAAAAAGAAAGAAGAAAAAAAAGAGAAGTTGACGAAATTAGAGCGAATTAAGCCGTTTTAATAATTAATCCCTGATCTTTTTCGAGTAAAGAAGAGGTGAAAGAGAGGAGGAGGGGAAAAAACGTCCGCGCCTAGGCTATACAGCCAGGCGCGCAGTGGCAGTAATCGCAGCAGAAGCGAGTCCTATAAAAGTAACCCCGGTGTAATGTCTTTTGAGCATATTTTAATCTTATTGATTAATTAACGCTAACGACCCTCTTTTGCGCTCGCGCTGCAGGGACACACGCACAGAAGTATTCTACTGGCATGCAGAAGCAGCAGCTGAAAAGTAAAAAATAAAAAAAAAGAAGAGGATCGCCCTTCTCTATCTCTTTATGTGTATTCCATCTCTGGCTCTCTTCTGCAAGCTCTGCAGCAGCAGCATTGCGCGCGCGCGGCTCAAAGAACGAGAAAAGCTCTTTCGGGTTATTTTTTATTAAACAAATTTCGTTGCAATTAAATTTCTCGAATAAGATTCACCGCTTGATATACGTGTAATATGCCGTAATCTGCGTGTATAATGTTACTCGACGAATTAGAACTTTTGCAAATTTTCTTGAACATCCCACACCCTCTCTGTCGGACGGCTTCGAGTATGAAGAAGAAGAAGAAAAAATTGATCGTTATTGATATAATTAATTGCTCATTTCAACGCGAGAAATCTTGCAAGACGTATTACCTCTTCTCACTCTTTCTCTCTCATTCCTTTTGACGCTTGAAAAGCGCCCAACACCAAGTGAAAGAGAGCCAGTATTCTACATATATATCTCTCTCTTTCTCTCTCGCTTATACACGTCTACTGCATAAGTGGAATTGGAAAAGTTTAGTAGCTACACGGGGCACGAGAAAGAGAGAGAGAAGAGCGATTCTCTCGCTCTCTATACGTCCGTGCGCGAGAGCTAGAATATTGGCATAAGCATTAGTATCAAACGCGCCAGTCTCTCTCTCTCTTCCTCTGACTCTCTCTATGCGTCTTTGTGTGTGTGTGTGTGTCTGTGCCTACATAGCAGAGTACGTACATATAAGGCGACGCATGCAGCTCTCTCTCTCTCTCTCCTTTAGTCACTTTAGCCCGCAATATGCGGTCTCGCGCGCGTCACGCATAAATCACTTGCTACGGCAATATCATCGCTTCTCTATCCTATCTCGACTACTACTACCACTCTTACTACCACTGCCTATCCTCTGTGTAGCGGCCTAGACTTTGTGCGACTGCATGTGTATAACGTGAGTACCATAACGCGTACGTGTGGTGTCTATGTCTGTGTGTGTGTGCGCGCGGGGCTGTTTGGCCATCTACGCGTGTAAAGGGTATACACTGCAGGGAACTATTGCTGCTGGCACTCTCTCTCTCTCTCTCTCTCTCTCTCTCTCTTTTAGACACGATTCACGTTTGGGTGTATACGGTTACGAGCCTTTATTAGCTCGATTTCGCAATATTGACATGTAGCCAGGATTATATGATCGGAAAATTTTTCCCCAAATACACCGCCGCCACGTTATAATCCGGTATTTTTTTCGCCACCATTGGAAGAACATGTCGAATGTACAGCGCGAGCCGCATTCAATCGTCGATGTCGCGTATAAGCTCACGCATACACTTCTGTATAGCCGGTAATACATTCAAGTTGAATTCAATACTCATTTGAATATGAACTGCTGCTTTTCAAGCTCCACGCTATAAACCATCCCTAAGACCGAGTACTTGCGTATTATATACATACAAGCGCGAGCGAGATTATACGCGTATTTGTAAGTGTTAATGTTGAAAATAATTAATGGATTTATTTGAGCGGATTTTCGAGAGCGCTTTAAAAATAAAGTACACGGACGGAAAAAAGCTCTCGTTCTTACCGGCTCCACGGCATTACAGGAGGCGAGCGAGAAATCCGCTAACGAATCGAATTCCACGCGTATTGATCTTTGCGCGCCAAATTGAGTTCAATCGATCGATATTTTCTGCTCTTCGTCGTACACTATCGCGTTGTAATTCGATTGGCTGTTAAAATATACATGTTTATA